TCCAAAATGCATCTTTTTGCTCCTTTAGCCCTTTGGACCTACAAACACACGAAAATAGCTTAAAGTACTAAAATAACTAAAGAAACATAACGTAAATGCACGAGAACAAGCCATTTAAGTCGCATGAATATGCTCCTATCATATTCACACTTGCTTTTGTAGTTGATGACTCGACAATATGGTACAAATAATGTTGGCGAGCACAAACGCCATCATTTGTCAGATTAGGTTGCATCTAGTTCTACTAGATTGCCTACATACATTGTGCTCTAGCGTAGGGACGTAGTTCTCTCCCGCCTACATCTTGTAGAACCGAACTATAGGGAGAGATTTTTGCGAAGGATGTGAGTGAGAAATTCCTAAAGGAATTTCGGCTATGGATACTTTGGAAGGACTGATGTGTTTCTCTATCACCAACCGTCTCCCTAAGACCTCTATTTATAGTGGTCTAGCTAGGGTTAAGTTGGAAATTTTTGGAGGCTAAGTCAAAAGCCAATACCAAGCAAACTCCATATCCACCACCACATTTGGGTGGATTATTATTTATTTAATAATTGTAGTGAATAAATGTAACAAGGACGAAAAGGAAGAGTAAGGGTTGTTATCGACAACCGGAAGTGGTGGCGGATGTTGACGAGAAAGAGAAAAAGAGAGAAAGAGTGAGAGATGCATATGTGATGAAGGAGAGAGGAGAATTATCTCAGTCGTACCGTAATGCAGTAAGTTATGGGAAGAGTTTGTTAGTGAGGAAATACTTGGGACAGTGGCTTTCAACAACATAACAGGGCTAGCATTTGGAAAACGTTTTGTTAACTCAGATACATTGATGAGCGAGGGCTAGAATTCAAGGCCATCGTAACCAATGGACCAAAGCTCGGTGCATCACTTGCCATGGTGGAGCACATTCCGTGGTTGCGGTGGATGTTCCCCATGGGAGAAGAGGCATTTGTCAAGCATGGTACATGACGAGACCGACTCACAAGGGCAATCATGGAGGAGCACACACAAGCGCGCAACAAGAGCGGTGGTGCCAGGCAACATTTTGTGGATGCGTTGCTTACATTGCAAGATAAGTATGACCTTGGTGAGGACACTATCATTGGACTTCTTTGGGTGAGTAGTAATTAATATATGCTTTCGGAAAATGATTTCTGCACTTCGACTTTATCCCCTTTGCAGTTTCTCTCTTGTTTCTAATGGTTGTGTCTTTTATGCAGGACACGATTACTGCAGGTATGGACACCACAGCCATTTTAGTTGAAAGGGCCATGGCCGAGTTGATCAAGAACCCAAGTGTGCAACAAAAAGACCCAAGATGAGCTAAACCGGGTCATGATCGAAGTCAATTTCTGAAGCCTACCTTACTTACAATGTGTAGCAAGGGAAGCACTACGGTTGCACCATCCAACACCACCAATGCTCCCCCAGCGAGCCAATGCCAACGTCAAGGCCGGTGGCTACGACATCCGCAAGGGTTCCAACGTTCACGTAAATGTTAGGCCAGTAGCGTGTAACCCAGCGGCTTGGAAAAACCCACACGAGTTCCAACCCGAAAGGTTCCTAGAAGAAGATGTGGACATGAAGGGACACTACTTTAGACTACTTACATTTGGAGCAGGAAGGCGAGTATGCATGGGAGCCCAACTCGGTATCAACTTGGTGGCTTCCATGTTGGGCCATATGTTGCACCATTTGACTTGGGCTCCGGCGGAAGGGGTGCAGCCAAAGGAGATTGACATGTTGGAAAATCTCGAACTCGTCACATACATGAGAACTGCATCTTCAAATGAGATGCCAACAAGTCCACATAAGCTATAATGACTAAAGAAGACAACATTACTATTCTCCAACCGAATGTCAATTCCTATGTGGCATCTCCAAATAAATGCTTTTTATAATTTTTGTTATTATCTTTTGTCTTAAAAATACTAATTACAATTATGAAAAATAAATAATGCAATAATAATAGTTTAAATTAGACATATCGGATGGAGAACAAAATTCCCAAAAAGATCAATGTGCCACATAGCCTTCAAATTTAAATTTTGTGTAAATTTTCAGAGCACATCCACTGTGGGCACTGTAGATTGGCTCCAAATTAATTTCAATCCCACCCCCACCCCAAAAAAAAAAAAAAAAAAAAAACCCTCTAGCCCACCTCAAGCAATTGGGTTAAGGGGAGCCCAACCAAGAGGTCAGGCGAAAATGTGATGCAAGGCTAACGTCAGCCACGTTATTAAAAAAATTTTGTGTGAGGCGTGTAAGAGCACGTGAGGGTGCGTCTCCAAATATTTTCAGATGGTGGGGCCTGTGTATCAGCCCTACTCAGTTACTGTTGCTTGAGCAACGTGGCTGCTTCTAGGCCGTTGGATTTCCAACTGTAAAAAAAATTTCAAACCTCCCCCAACAGCTAGATAACGTGGCACAATTTGGATTGTTTGATTTCCAGATCAACGGTCCCTGTTTTTCAACTTTAATTTTTTTTAAAGAGAAAAAAATAGAGATGTTACGTTGGGCCACGTGTCACAATCTAAACTATTGGATTTCAATTTTTTTGTAATCTAACGAACAAGATTAATAAAGTTAAAAATAATTAAAAATCCCAATTTTTTTAAAAAATTATAATTTTTTTTTTCTATAAATACCTTACCATTTTCTCCCACTTTACACCACATTTTAATATTTTCAACGATTCTAAATAGGTAAGGACACGTGGCGCGACGGAATTGATTAAAAATATTAACAAAATCTATTCCAAAAAATTGTACTTTCGAATAATGATACACAGCGTGACGAGATCGATTAAAAATCTTATCCAAAATTAAAAATAAAATTATTATTTATTATTTTATAAAATAAAAATATGAATATTTTAATCCGAATTGTCTGGGCTATTCATTTCAGTATAGGTGTGTCGATGCAATAGACAATTACTGTTCATTAAATGAGGTTACTATTCACTTGAGGGGATTGAATTGCTTATTGCCAAAGGGAACCTTTACACACTTAAAATGCTTTTAGAGATGGTCTTAGGGCTAATTTGGTATTGTTGTGCTTTTAAAAAAAAAAACTGTTTATACTGAGCTGTGAGAATAAACAGTTGTACAATAAAGTTGTCAAGTGTTTGGTAAACATTTGTTCTGTAAAAGTGCTTTTAATAAACAACAACAGTGTCTAAGTGTTTGGTGAACTTTTATATAAATTGCTTTGAATATGTTAATAACTAAAAAAGATATAATATTTAATGTGATATAATAATTGTCAAGAACAATAATGTAGTGGCAAAGATTGTATTTTTGTAAAATACGTGGTGGTATACTTCCATTTGAAAAATTCATTAAATAAGCATTAATTATTATGCTTTGAAAAAAAAAAAACATTTTTTTTAGAAGCATACTAAAATTGGCTTTAACTTTTCTACTTTCATTAACAGTAATTTTAAAATTAAAAAAAAGTTATTTTACCAAACACAAATTTTTTAATAAATCTTTTTTTTTTTTTTTTTTTTTTCAAAAGCACCACAATACATAACCAACCATTAGACCATCTCAAACTGAAAGGTCCACAAGGTCAGAGACTCGAAAATCGTCTCCAACCGAGGGTTAGGCCAGATGGCTCGTGGGCCCCACGGAATCTGAAAGGGCCAAAGGGCTGGCTGCATGCTAGCCCCAGGCTGGCCCATTTTTTTATTTTTTTATTTCTGTCGGATTTCCTGTCGGTTATAACCAATAGGAATAAAACAAGTAGTGTCAGTTATAACCGACACAAATAGAAGGGAAAATTTTGAATCCAACAGCTAGTTACCGTTGGATTCAATTTTTTTTTTTTTAGGCCAATTTTTTTTAATGAATTTAAAAAATTCCCCTTTTTTCCTTATAAATACCTAAATTATTCCTACACTATTTCTCACATAATTTTCACCATTTTTAAATTTAAGTTGTTGTAGTTTTTAAATTTAAATAAAAAATTATGTTTGACCCTATACCTATGGCCCTTTAGCCCTCGGTTGGAGACGGTTTTTGTGACAGGGTTAAAACGAGCCTTATGATCATTTGACCCTCAATTGGAGATGGAGGTAAATATAATCATGTACTGTTTATTAAAATATTAATATTTTGAAGAACCAGAAAATTAAAACGAGCTCTCTGATTAATCCTTAGTTGAAGATGATCTTACAAGCCGTGCCTGCTCCCAGCCCTTCATCACAGTTATACAAACGAGTGGCTGCACCGCACACATGTAACTTGTCAGTTTCTTCTTTTTATTATTTTAATTTTTTTTGAGTTTTGATTTCTGAAAAGTCATACTTATTAATCTTTTCAATTTAATCCATCATTAATTACAGACATGTTTAATTACCTCATTAAATTAAGATAAAAATGGGTGTGTTTTGTACTTCTCTTAAGATATGTCGGCGGCCCACCGCCCGTGTCGTTCCAAACAAGTTGACGTCTCATGAATATGGACGCTGGGACCAGAGCACTCGGATCATCTCTCATCCTCACATTCAATAGGCCTTAAATAATTCACCTACCACCCTACCCTCTCTGTCTCTTTCTCGTCCACTCATCCCACAAAAGCAAATAAATTCAAATCATGTGATGATATTTAGTTTCAGAAAATGATTTTCGCCCATTCTTTAAACCTTTGTTTTTTTCATTATTTTTAACTCTCGAAATGAATTAATAAAAAAATAAGAAACAAAAACTAAAGAGCGTGTGAAAACCAAAAGAAATATGTAAAAATTATTACCCTCGTTCCAAACTCTGCAAAATTGACCGAATATATCACAACATTTGACGCTAGCAATGAAATGTTTGAATGTGAAAGTTCAGCATAGAGATTCGATGTGAAGTTGGAGCATCGGTTGTTGACGACTGACGCCCACATGTTCTTCTTTTGTTTGGACTTGTGAATGGCAACGTAAGATAATGGGCAATGGCATATCAAACTCCCTCCAGCCTCCATTCTTGCTTCAACCCCCATTCCTCCTCCATCTCCCGCTCTCATCCTACATTCTCCAACTTTTTTTTTTTTTTTTTAAGGGTTTTGTTTTGTAAAGAGTTTATTATTTTTATCTTAAATCGGGTATAAAATTACACTCATAACAAATTAGAACATGTTACGTCTTTAAAGTGTTTATTTGAAAAAAAATATCCCATGTAATAGAGAGTTTGTCAACATATCCAATTAAATACCACTACGTTTTTTTATTTTTTTGTCAAGCAAGAGAGCTTTCATTCCATTGAAAACTAGTATAAGGCCAACATGAACTAGGTAAACAACAACACATAAAGTAAAAGCCTCAAGTGAGATAAGAGCAACAAACTCAAGATACAACGGGAGAGCTACACAAGCTTAGGCTCGAAGACATAATGAGAGCTGCAAAAACAAATAACAAAAACCCTAATCTCAAGCAGCATAAACTAGACTGTCATTGCCGTCACATCCTCGAAGGAAGCCAAACTTCGGACCAAGAGAGTAGACACCAGATCCAAGTTCCTTTCACAAACCCCTGCATATATACAAACTACAATTTTAAAAATAGAATTCCACAAGCTGGGGATCCTAAAATAGACGCATAATAATATTAAGGTTAATACTAGCAACTTTCTCACTGGAACTTTCTCATTTTACATACAATTCTCTTTCTCATCTTACAATGTTACTTGATGATCCGAACAATTTACTTTATATATCACCCATTAAAGATCAACTCTATAAAAAATTAATTAAATTATAAATCGTTTTAACTTTTGTTTAACATTTGTCAAAATTTTGGTGTTTTAAGTGCGAAACATAATTTGTCTATTTATTGGACAACATTGAAAGATAAGTACCAAAATCCAGAAGATTGCTAGTATTCTCTTAAAGATAACGTTAGAAAGACAAAATTTACAAACTAAATAACGTATTTCCAATAGGAATGAATACGTTTATCAACGTTTAAGTAATAAATTAATCATCAACTTATATATCATTTAGTTTTTAAAATTTTATCTAAAATTTAATTTTCCTAGTAATATACCTCTTAATAATAACAGGTTCTTGTGGCAGTGATGGGAGTGAGGGGTTGTTGGCTTGTAGTCCCACACATGAAAGTTTGTTACCGCACCTACCACCCAAATATCCGACCCACATTTTTCACAACACAATAGGACTCCATATATTTCAGTGTGTGTGTATATATATCCCTCTCCGGAGTGTCGATTATTTGACTACTGCACTCACACATGGCTCTCCCTGGACTACTTCTCCCCACTTCATCAATCATCATCTTCATCTTCCTTGCATACAAGCTCTACCAACGGCTCAGATTCAAGCTCCCACCCGGTCCACGTCCATGGCCCGTCGTCGGAAACCTCTACCAGATAAAGCCGGTGAGGTTCCGCTGCTACGCCGAGTGGGCAGAGAAATACGGGTCCATCTTCTCAGTGTGGATTGGATCCACACTGAACGTCGTAGTGAGCAACACAGAGCTTGCAAAGGAGGTGCTCAAGGAAAATGACCAGAAACTGGCTGACAGGCACAGGAACAGATCGACCGCAAGGTTTAGCAGGGACGGTCAGGATCTTATCTGGGCTGACTATGGGCCGCACTACGTGAAGGTGAGGAAGGTGTGCACTCTTGAGCTTTTCTCTGCAAAGAGGCTTGAGGATCTCCGACCCATTAGAGAAGATGAGGTCACTGCTATGGTCGAGTCCATCTTCAACCACTGCACCAAACCTGGTGATATTTCTTTCTTTTTCATTAAGAGTCAGTTAACTTTTTATTTAAGCCAACTTTTTATTCAGTACGTCATCTTGACTTGATATCTTCTTTAAGTTCTAATCTTTTTTCCTTCTGTTTGAATAATTACACATGTTAATGTTTTGTGTTAATTTTTTAATAATCAAAAGAACAAAACCGAAAGGAAGGAAGAGAAGGGAATGAGACCGAGAGGAGAGATATTCCTGCTCCTCAAACTCGTCCTTTCACCAAAATTGCACATGCCACGCTGGTATAACACGAAAGATCCGTACACAAAAATTAAGAAAATATAGAAAAGTAGGTATGAATGGAATGGTGAATCCAAATAATATTCATTTTTTATTTTAGACCATACGACTACTATGCAACCTATTATAAATTTAAGAATGTTATATTTACACATTTTTTTTTTCTCATATATTTTTATTATTTTTTAATTTATTCAATACGACAGTCAGAATTTAAGAACGTGTGAGAAGTAAAAAGAGATATATAGATAACACATCTCTAAATTTACCGTCTTTTTTTTTTTGTGTGATGATTGGTAGCATTAGAAAGATTTTTCGAAATGCCTAAAACATTACATGTATTACACAATTGAAGATTTTTTTTTTTTAAAAATGTCTCCTTCCAATTGTTTAATGAGATGTGACATTCCGTCCCACAACTTTGAAAGGTTGGTAGTGATGGAATGGTAATATTGATCCTTGGCTACTTGTCTTGTCTGATTTGAGGGCCCTCCCGACGTTATTCGGGACATCATCTTTCAAAACTTGATATCTTCTTTAAGTTCCAATTAATGATATGGTACTAATTAAATAAAAAATAAAAAACATGTTTGGTAAATGCACTTGCAAACTCGTCCTTGTACCGATTAACCGATTATTGTTAACAATTTATTCACCATATTACAGAAAACCATGGGAAAAGTTTGGCAGTGAAGAAGTATTTGGGAAACGTGGCTTTCAACAACATAACAAGGCTAGCATTTGGGAAACGTTTCATCAGCTCCGATGAAATAACTGATGAGCAAGGGAAACGATTCAGAGCTCTTATGGCCAACGGGGTGAAAATAAGTGGATCGCTCTCGGTGGCTGAGCACATTTCATGGTTGCGTTGGGCATGCCCGTTTGACGAAGAGGCGTTTGCTCGACACGGAGCAAACAGAGACAGACTCACCAAGGAAATCATGGACGAACACGCTCAGGCACGCTCCAAGGGCGGCGTTGCCAAGAGCCACTTTGTGGATGCATTGTTTACCTTGAAGGAAAAGTATGACCTTAGCATGGACACTGTTATTGGACTTCTTTGGGTAAGTATACATTGATACGTTCTTATTTTCCTATTTTGTTGCTAAAAAGTGGCGATTAATTCTCACTCACGTTTGTATGTTTGCACTCGATCGTTCCGCTTGTTTTTATCCTTTTTCCTTTTGATTAGTTAACGAAACTATTATTATCACTCTGATATAGTCATTGCGCATTCTTCCCTTACATTCGAAACTAATGAAGCGATTTGGTCAGGATATGATGGCTGCCGGTACAGACACCACAGCAATTTCAGTTGAATGGGCCATGGCTGAGCTGATTAAGAACCCGAGGGTGCAACAAAAGGCTCAAGAGGAGCTAGATCGGGTTATTGGGCACGAACGAGTCATGACCGAAAATGATTTCTCAAACCTCCCTTACCTACAATGTGTAGCAAAGGAAGCACTGCGGTTGCACCCTCCAACACCACTAATGCTCCCCCACCGAGCCAATGCCGATGTCAAGATTGGTGGCTACGACATCCCCAAGGGTTCGATTGTTCATGTTAATGTTTGGGCTGTAGCACGTGATCCCGCTGTCTGGAAAAACCCAAATGAATTTCGACCTGAAAGGTTCCTAGAGGAAGATGTTGACATGAAAGGCCATGATTTTAGACTACTTCCATTTGGAGCAGGCAGGCGAGTATGTCCCGGAGCTCAACTCGGTATCAACTTGGTTGCCTCCATGTTGGGTCATCTGTTGCACCATTTCAGTTGGGCTCCTCCTGAAGGGGTGAAACCAGAGGAGATTGACTTGTCGGAAAATCCAGGGATAGTCACTTACATGGCAACCCCAGTACAAGTAGTGCCTACTCCAAGGCTCCCTTCACACTTGTACAAGCGTGTGGCCGCGAATATGTAATTTTTATTGTCATTCTATTGTTATTGTTCTAGCACTTGATCCGATAACGAAACAACTTCTTTTCGCTACCCTTCCCTATTGGGACAATAAAAATCCCGTTTGTGTCATGATAGTCATAAAGACACTTCCATTTCCTTTTCAAAGTGTTTTTATGATATTGTTAGTTACTACCAACGACGGACTCCAGAATTTATTTTTGGGTTGGCGATGTTTAAAAGCTTCCCAAATTTAGTCTAAGTTCCAGAAATGCTCTTCTAATGCATTTTCAAAAATCAAGTTTAAAATGCTATGAGCTTTTGAAAGTCCCTCATCCAAATATAACATTATAGGTCAATAGACAGGGTCGGTCTTAAGACTTTTGAAACTTGGGGCGACCTTAAAAATGTTCCCTAGCTTCATATAAGAAAAATTATTTCGTTTCACACGTAAGACTTCGATAAAATTATACTTAGAAAAACACTTCAAACTTAATAATTTAGACACGGAAAAAACTTATTTATTTTGTATAGAGAGAAGGGAACCAAAAAACCCTGGACTTACAAGTAGATAGATGATGAGTTTTGTTTCCTTTCTATCTGAACTTTTAAAGGGCTTATATATAACTCGTGAGGTCTTTTTTCTTATTTATTAACCTTGTCAATATGGGACTAAACAAATAATCATATTTTCGAATCTTTGGTTGATATATATAGTTGTTAAGTTCATATCAATTAAAACCCTAACTATTGTCCAATAGGGGTTGCTTTTTTCTCTCTCTTCGAGAGCCTTTCTCACCTCTATGTGTGGGTGTTTTCCATCACTGCATTTTCTCCTCAACCGCCAGCCTTAGCTCTGGCCAGGGTCGGTGGCAGTCATCTGCTTTTCCTTGTTCTTTTCTCTTTTTGTTTCCTTATGTTTCAATTTTCCACTGCCAACGTTTTTGGTCCGCCTTACTCTTCTACCATTTTTCCGTTTTCGATCTACCTTACCTCCGTTTTCTTCTTTCTTCAAATCATTGTTCTCCTTCCACTTCCATGGCTTTCATCTATCCCTCTCACTCTACCTCTCCCATTTCTTCCACTCCCACTCCAGGTTGGCTCATTCCTTCCTCGTTGCTTCCTCTTTTCCAATTTGCAATCTCCTTTCTTCACAGCACTCGACTGTGGTTCTTTTGGAAGGTGCGTAGATTTTCGACTCGGGTGTACACACCACCACCTTCCACTTGCTTGCCTTTATTGGCACTGTCGTTGGTGGGTTCTCCATCGGCTTCTTTCGTATTTCTGGTTGTGTTTGGCACAGTGGTTGTTGCAGGTTATGGGAGTCACCATCTTCTTCTTCTCCAGGAGGTGTATGCTTGACGGCGGTCCAAGGCGTTGGATTGCGTTGATGGGTTTGCACTATGTAGGCGATGGCGACGTCTGCAGAAGGCTAGGTTGTTTTGTTTTGTGGTGTTTTAGTTTTCCAACTAGTGTTTTGGGCACTGTGTTGTGTAACTTTGGGTCCTTTTGTTTTTTGTTGTGTATCACTTGTTTTGGACCTCCTGTGTTTAGTTGTTTGTTGGTAATAAAATTCGCAACTTTGACCAAAAAAAAAAAAAAAAAGAGACATGCATCCATTAATTTCTTGAACGCTAATGCTGGGGATACCAAATTTTTAAACTAAATTTTGTAAACTGTATGATATGATTGTTGATGATTGGATTATTACTTAAGTGTTGATTAACATGTTTATTTCTTATTAGTGACAAGTTATAGAAAATAGAAAACGCACATAACGTTTTGAACCCGGGACCAACTTGGTAATTTTAAACATCATGAACCACCACTTCTAGTTAAACTTCTTAATTATTTGACCAAATGTTATAAATTTATACCTTTATAAAAAGAAATCTGTAAAAATTAGAAAGTAAATAAACACATAGCTATTTAAACTTGAGACCTCCTTGTTAATTTCAAACAACATAAACCACTAGTTCTAGTTAAATTTCTTGGTCATTTAACCAAAATTTATAAATTTGTACTCTTATGAAATTATATATGAATACAACACCCGAAATAATTTTGGTGCCCCTAATTTTTTTAGGCTCCGAACAGTTGCCCAGCCAGCATCGGACCTGGCCGGCCCTGTCAATAGAAAAGAAGCTCATAAAACGAATCTTGGATCATGCATGAGTTCTGAGCTAGCTACAATCAAAACGATGAACTTAGAAATTGTTCCTACATAATCAGAAGGTACGTCGGGAGAGTGCTGCAGAAACGACACTAGCATAAGTAACTCTAATGTCAAACTTCAGCATGTATTGATTAGTCAAATTAATTAGGGTACATGGCCATAAACCCGTACCTTAGATTATTCAAAGAGAAGAGAATTAATTGTCTTTGCTTTCCTGTAGTACTTAGTATTGGAGTATGAATTGTCTTTGCTGGCAATGAAATGTTTGGATGCGAAAGTTCTTCATAGGGATTCGATATGAAGTTGGAATGTCAGCTGTCGACTACCTGATGCCCTCCTATTTTTCTTTTGTTCGGATTTGTGACCAACAATGTAAAATAAATTTATATAAGCGAAACATAAAGTTGCAAATCCAAAATATTGCGACAACAATGAGCAATAGCATATCAAACTCCCTCCAGCCTCCATTCCGGCTTCAACCTCCATTCCTCCATCTCCCGCTCCTATCTTACGTTATCCAACTCTTCTTTTTTTGTTATTTTGTTTAGGGTTTTGTTTTGTAAAGAGTTTATTATTTTTATCTTAAATCCGCCATTAATTTCACATTTTGGGTATGAAATTACACTCATAATAAATTAAAACATGTTACATCTTTAAAGTGTTTATTTGAAAAAATATCCCATGTTATAGAGAGTTTGTCAACATATCTAATTAAATACTACAATTTTTTGTCAGGCAAGAGAACTTTTATTCCATTAAAAGTTAGTACAAGGCTAAAAAAGAATCAGGTAAACAACAATAGATAGAGTAAAAGGCCCAAGTCAAATAAGAGTTGCAACTCAAGACTCAACGGGAGGCCCACACAAACTTAGGCCCGAACATACAATGAGAGCTGCAAAAAAAAAAACAAAAAACCCTAATCTCAAGCAGTATAAACCAAACTAACGCTGCCGTCACATCCTCAGAGGAAGTCAAACTCCGAACCGAGAGAATAAACACCAAATCCCAAGTCATTTTGGGGATCCCAAAATACCTAAAGGACAATAATATTAAGGTTAATGCTAGCAACCTTCTCATTGGAACTTTCTCATGTAGTTATCTCTCTCATTCTGCAATGTTACTTGATGATCTAAAACATTTACTTTCTATATCACCCTTTAAAGGTCAACTCTATAAAAAATCAACCAAATTATAAGTAGTTTAATTGTTGTTTAAAGTTTGTCAAAATTTTAATATTTAAGTGTGAAATATAATTTATCTATTTATTCGATAACTATTTGATAACTAAATGATTTCGAACTACTTGTTTTATATAAATGATCTTTTAAAGGTGATTTAGAAAGTGGTTTATGAATTTTAATTCTTGTAAGATTGAAAATTAATTAAAAAAAGTTATTTGATTCTTGTTTTAATATTTAATGCTTATATTCCTCCCATTATAATTGTCCATAAATGAGGAAACATTACAAATAAAAAAACAGTGACACATAAGAAAAAAGGAGCAAACATGTATCAAAATGTTTGTACTTAAATGTGTTATAATAAATTAGTGTACCTAAATGTCTGTATTTTAATATAATAAAAAAATAAATACATCAAAATATCTATACCTAAATATATTATAATAAATTAACGACATGTAAAAAACCATGCAGATTCCATTTTGTTAACTTTTAGGTTTAATTTTTGGGCACGTTGGTAGGCCTGTCCCTCTTCCAATGCAGATTCAGCGATTCTGAATCCATTTGCGCTTATGTAATGTATTGTAACGATTTCAACTCTAGTACGCCACTTGAGATCTCGATCAAACCTTGGGTATACCTAACTATAACGAAAAGTCACACATCTATGCGACGCCAACCAGTTCGCTGTCAAATTGGCTGATCTTGGAGTCCAAGACCAAGGACAGTCATGGAAGGAATTGCCAACTTGCTTGCACTTTGTTAAGATTGGAAACGTCTCCCACCTGCCATTTGTGATGCTACCCTATAAAGAGGAAATGGAGTTCGAGGAATCAGATTCAACAATCACATAACTAAGACCCAAAAAGTGACCGAACTCACAACCGCGAAGAATTGCCAAAGCCTCCGCAGTTGGAACATAAGGGGCCTGAAAATGGAACCTCCTAGCAGCAAGAAAATGAACCAGAGAGTCCCTCACCACCACCCCGATAAAGCCATCATGCGAGGCAGCAACCCAACTGGCATCAACATTGATTTTAACATATGGAGAGCATGGCATCTGCCATCGGGCCTGCAAATGCGAGTGAGGTCGACGCTGCGGCAAACTGCTGTGAATCAAAGTGTCCGAGGGCCTGAAAGAAGCCTCTCCAAAAGCTCTTACCTGTGTGGAAATTACAGCCATCACCTGCGAATGAATAATTGGTTTCTGTTGGAAAAGGAATGCGCACCTAGCCTTCTAAATATACCAACAATAAAATGCAACCCAAGTCAGAATCCTATCTCTATCATCTTTCGAATGATCACAGGCCCGGATGATTGCCAATAACCAATTCGGCGAAGTAGTAATTTCAGCCCTATTAACCTTATGGTTTAAAATGCCACCAAACCAAATAGTTTCCACCCATGGACAGAGGAGAAGAAGGTGCTCAATCGTTTCCCCCTGAGAATGACAAATGGGACAAAAAGGTGAGGAGGTCGAATGTCTTTGATAGAGGGCCGCCATCGTAGTAAGGGCATTGTGCAACGTTTTCCACAAAAAATTTCTGAGCTTTGGAGGAGTTTTTAAGTGCCACACCACTTTCCATATCAACTCCGGAATGGTAAAAGACGAAGATGATCTAAAATTGGTCCGAGTTACCTTCCTAGAATACAACTAGTGGTAGCCGGACTTAATAGAGTATATTCCCCTTTTATCAAAGGGCCAGATTAACCTGTCTAGGAACAAGGGATCACCAATATGGACATACTTAAATAAAGTTTAGAGCTCGTTTAGA